GAAGCCATTTGAAACAAATGTTAAATTACCAGTCAACCAAAGAAACTTGTTGCTAAATAGCAAAGTACAGCTTTTTTACTGGATACTAGTGTAAGTATAGGTAATGTATATATATCAAATTAAAGTATAGGTAATGTATATATATCAAATTAAAGTATAGGTAATGTATATATATCAAATTAGGGCGATTCAAAATATTATATCTGTATTGTAATGTCATTTAGAGCGACTTTAATATGTATATACATCAAATCTGGTTTATATTTATAAAAGATTTTTTAATGAGAAAGATTTAAAACTTAATATCTATATTGTGAAGTCATTAAGAACGATACAAAGACTGCATGTGAAGTTAAATTATGTTATGATTTGGCAACTACTGCCTGGCATCATTCATTCTTGTATCTGAAAAAATTAAGTGGCCACTTTTATACTTTTCAAATTAATTTTCGACTAATTCTTCTCCAGAACTATACCATTTTAGGATTTCAAACCATTATTAGTGCTTATGTTTGGATAAGACACTTTCAACATCTTAATTCAGAATAGTACATAAACACTATCTTCATGTCACCCTGGTAAAAATACTTTCCGCTTTCTACCGACTCAGCTAGGGAGAGTTTCTCTATAGCTCATTTGGTAGAGCGTAAGTCTAGTAAACCTGAGGTTCTGGGTTCGACTCCTGGTGGAGGCATTACAAAAATAATGACATCTGTTACATTAGCTCATTCACCCCTGAAGACACATTTGAACTCCTCCAATTCAAAGGTTGGAATAGTTCATTATGAAATTTCAGGGGTGAATTGAGTTAATATAATGTATTGCTGACATACAGTATTGACATTGTAATTATATTGTTTTGAATGTGATTTTTGTGGTGTATCAATCTTTTCTCTTTGATGTTGATCCAAATATTTCCTGCTGATATTCAGTTCATATGACAACTTGTTACCATGACTTTGATAAGTAATGAGTAAGATATAATGAAATATGATCTTCTAGTGATAATTATGGAGGTTTTCACCCGTTTCTTATAAAATACTTAATTTATATCACTAATTTGCCTTTATAGGGATTGGGAGATGAAGAGGTTTGTCACTGTTAAGTGTTTCTTTTAAAGAAAAAAAAACAACAAAAAAACTTGTATTGGGACTGAAAGTGTGAATACAAAGCTCCTGAAATACATTGATCAATTCTCAAAATACCAAACATTGGCAAGAGTTGTAATGAATCATCTAGATCTGACGTAAGAAGGTTTGCAGACGACACTTATTGTTGAGAATGTTCAGGAAATTATGTTGTCGTACATGTACACCATGTTTATGTGGTGGGTTTATGCAATGATAAGAACATCACAATAACATTGTCCACTGAAATAGTCTATTAGCTGTTGGGTCAGCGTATGGTGGTGGGCATATATCTTCACATCTCAGGTAAATACGGCCATCAGCAGTATACATAATGTAAATTACAGGTAAACTTTACATCATCCTATTTTTAGGTCACCTGAGCTTTGCTCAAGTGACCTATTCCAATCACTTTTCGTCCGTCGTCGTCCGTCGTGCGTAAACTTTTACATAATCAACTTCTTCTCAAGAACCAGTGGATGGAATTTTTTCAAACTTGGTCAGAATTATCCTTGGTAGATGAGGATACCAAATTGTAAAATTGGGATTCCTACCCCAACCCTAGGGGCCAGGGCGGGGCCCAAAAGGGAAAATTAACCAATTTTTCAAAAATCTTCTT